GATTACAGTGTACGCCGTCAGAAAGACTAAGGATTCTACTATTTTTAGTTGTATAAAAACGCCAAAACAAGCCGTAAACTTTTTTCAACGACCTAAAAACGTCTGATGAAGAGCTATTGATTTGTTTATATTTATATCTTACTTTTTTATATACAATAATCATTTCAAACCATATTCTCTCCCCTCTCTGCTTCCTCTGACCATCTGCTTCTAAACATATCATTACTTGTCTGTATTGATTCATATACATGCATAAAACCGCTCATCATAAAGGTATTTGATCTACACATTAGCAATGAAATCTTAAAAGGATGAGAGAAAAAAAAGTAAAAAAAAAAAAGAAAGAAATTCTAGTTTCGTCAATAAGCATTGAAGAATATCCCATAAAAGACATCTCTCTCTGAACAAAACAACTTGCACCTCCAGGCGAATGCCAACTAATTCTTCGTTGTAATCGTAACCGAAAACATTGGAGAGGTGGCGGCAGTTGCATCAAAAAGTGGTTTTCTTCGATTCAGTCTTTGAACTTTGGTTCGTATTTCATGCCACGACGAAAAAACAGGTTTTCTATGAAGCTAAGAAGAAGAAATGATCTCTTGGGAAGCGTAGCAGTTTCCTCGTCCATTAGAGAAAAGTAGGTTTGATCACAGGCAAGAAATCAGGAATATCGTCTTTTGACACAATTCGCTTTTTCTTTATATATATCAATTAATGCAGTAAAATCCAAACATTTTATCGCCATCAGGAATCTTATATATTTTTTGTCATGATGCGATAAAATCCCAGCTCGTGTAAATATTAACGTGTTTGGAAAGTAATGTAATGTGTCGCCGTTATCAATTATGAGTCATTCACTTGAGTCAAAATTAAGGTTGAATGCTACTAAACAACATCTCGGAAATTATTATCTCTCTTCTCCAAACACTGTTACGTCTATCGTGTACTTAAGAGTTTAACTCTATGGAGGGGAATGATTGTAATATTAAAAATCTATATACTTTGAACTGTATGAATTCCGAAAAGGTCGTATCGCTAAAGATGTATTTGAAAAATTGTCATTGTATATGGATGAAATGAAGGGTTAAATATGCTAGTTGTGGCTTAAATGTGTAAAAATGGTGATTGTGACTTATCCGATAAACCTTGACCTGGAAGACGAACGACGATTGAATGAAGGATTTCTAAAATAAACCCTTAAATTGGATCAGCGTCAAAGCGGCAAGATTTGGCGCTAAAAAGGAATGTGTCATATTCCAATTTTAATTCAATGCCAATCGCTTTGTACAGTCCTTCTGATTACTTTTGTTTTTGTTCTTGCTCTTTAATAAAGTTTCTCATTTCTCATTCTTATGCAACCTGTAACTCTTTGTGTCATAACGGTTTTACTTGAGGTGTGAATCAAATAAAAAATGTGAAAATAAAACTGTCAAGGAACATCTCAAACAAATTGGGAAAATTTGCAAAGACGTTATATTCGGTTCCTTATAAGCTCTTGCTTGAGAAAAAAGAAATACCTACCCAAGACTTGCATTTAGCCGGAATTTCAACTTGACATTTTTGCATCGCATTGTTACGGTTGATGAAAAATGGGTTTTGCATATCGGCAGAAATAAAAGAAAATGAAAAAAGACACTTTTATCACAAAATAAGAAACCACTGCCAACACCAAAACGTAGACTCCATGCACAGAAGCCCTTTTACAAACAAAAAACTAGTCTGAAATAATAATAAAAACGAAGGAATATTAATATACAACTCAGTGTGTTTGAAGATTTTAATTTTTTAACGTTTAATATTTTTATTGTTCAATATATATATATATATATATATATATATATATATATATATATATATATATATATATATATATATATATATATATATATAAAATATTGTCATCTACAGGCACATTGTTTCGCTGTATCACAGGTCATCAGTGTGGATAGACGTCCGGTTGACTTTAGCCAGGAGCGAAACCCGTATCTCAAATATGTGGTGCAGCTGTATTTATATTACAATGGATCATTCATACAAAAGTAAATTAGCACAGTTAATGATATAAAAAGGCCAAATCCCTTCCCTGACAAAATTTTACAGATGCATTAACACACTAATCACCAGATGAATGATATATATATATATATATATATATATATATATATAGAGAGAGAGAGAGAGAGAGATAGATAGATAGATAGATACATTTCCGAATGAGATAGATAGATAGATAGATAGATAGATAGATAGATAGATAGATATTAGGTTGGTGCAAAAATAATGACGTAATAATGTCGTTTTTTTTGACGTTAAAAATACGTCAAAAACGACAGTATTACGTCATTATTTTTGCACCAACCATTAATAGATATAGATACATACATACATACATACATACATTCAAGGGATAAAAATTGTATAGCACAACACATTGAACCAAATTTCTTAGCTGCAGACCTAGCAATAGAATTCAATATAAACTCTCCATTTGATTTCAGCCGCGAATGTTAGACAGAGAAGGCGCAAAGAGCCACTGTCCTGAAGATCAGCCTCACCTATGCTGAATCAAAACAAAATTTGGTTTCTCAGATGATGAATAAAGAGCAGTTTTATTTTAGAGACGTTAAAATTAACAAGCTATACTTTGCCCCAGTTAACAATTGACTGTAGGTCATTTTTAGAGCACCCACTAATTTGACTTTAGCAATCTGATCAGACTTACTATCGAGGCAGGAGTAAGTAGTTGTCATCAGCACAGGTACCACGCTGGAAGTTGAGGCCATCGGGAAGGTCATTGATGAAAAAATGTGACCAATAACAGAGTTATGAGGAACACTTGCATTAGTTAAAAAAGATCTCGAAAAGTGCACGTTCATAGTGCAACATAGGGTCTCAATTCAACTACTTCAGCGATTCTTGCATTGTCCCAACGTAAAATGGAGCGAATCATGCTCGGTTTCAACTTACGTTAGAAGATGACTTACACCTGGAATTGTAGCCAAAATCTTGAGTCTTGAGCGAATTTCGTATCGTATACAATACAATATCACGACTATATCTACTGCTCGACAAAATAAAAACCCTTATGCTGACACAAAAAAAATCTCTTCATTCCAACGGTTTGTTTAAATATATACAGTGTAACCCGGATATAAGAGACCCGGATATAAGAGAAACCCGGATATAAGATATAAGAGAGAATTTCTCTGGTCCCAAATTAGAGCCTGTGTTAATGTATATAAAATAGACAACCTGGATATAAGAGAAACCCGGATATAAGAGACTTCTTCTCCGGTCCCGACAACTCTCTTATATCCGGGTTACACTGTATATATATATATATATATATATATATATATATATATATATATATATAAACCTGATTATATACCTGAGATATATATATATATATATATATATATATATATATACAGTATAACCCGGATATAAGAGAAACCCGGATATAAGAGAGATTTTCTCTGGTCCCAAATTAGAGCCCATAATTACCTAAACAAAATAGACCAAACCCGGATATAAGAGAAACCCGGATATAAGAGATTTCTTCTCCGGTCCCGACAACTCTCTTATATTCGGGTTACACTGTATATATATATATATATATATATATATATAAACCTGATTATATACCTGATATATATATATATATATATATATATACAGTGTAACCCGGATATAAGAGAAACCCGGATATAAGAGAGATTTTCTCTGGTCCCAAATTAGAGCCCATAATTACCTAAACAAAATAGACCAAACCCGGATATAAGAGAAACCCGTATATAAGAGACATCTTCTCCGGTCCCGACAACTCTCTTACATCCGGGTTACACTGTATCTCCTTTTTTAGAAACACAGGCGAGATGTGGCAAGCTTCTCGCTGCTCTACCGCTAGTTTCACGGAAAGTGCTCGGACGAACTACATACCCTGGTCCCACCGAGGTAAACCTTCTCAACACGCCATGCAACTTCCATAGTAGCAAACCACCCACATTCACCCCGTATTCCACTTGCTCAGCTTCTTCCCGCGAACTACTGCCCTGTGGAATCGATTCCAAATTTGGTGTTTCTTCGATCCCTACAATTTCAACCTGTTAAAGGCTGGGGTTGACCATTATCTCCCACTCCTGTACGCACAAGTTGACCTCGGGCTTTTTACAGGGTGAAACTCGCCGTAAAAATCTTGTCAATGCTGCTAAAAACAGATGACTCCGTAATAAAATTGGAACTTATTGAACTTATAACTACGTTCAACTCATTTATTGGCCTCACGTACTTTCTTTTTTATTTTATTTTTTTATTTTTTGTAAATCAAGGGTTTTTTTCTTTCCTGACTTTCAGTGAAAATCGGTGGATTTCTTTCAAAAAATCTCAAACTCAAGGCTGAAGAACCACTCAAGATACAGTTTTACTGGAGGAGACGAGTGATAATAACTAAAGATTATGAGTAATAGAGAATAACTAAAGATTACGAAAGTATAGAACATAGATATCGATTGACCCTAGACTTGAAGTAATTAAGATTGTAGCGTTTGGGAAAGCATCGACACTGAAGTCTGTGCCACAACGCATAGATTCTTAGATACTAAAAGCTGTGGAATTCTTTCTTATAGTTGAGGTACAGAGTGAATGAGCCTAGATTCCGACTTAAATTCTAATGAATGTTCACCCTCCTATTGTGTAGATTGGTGCAAACGGTCTTCCTGTCTCTATTTTCCACATTTAGCATTGCGCCATTCCAAACGAGTCATAGCAAATATCAAGGTACGACCGTGGCCTCTAAAATTACCTGTAGCTATATCCAGACTCCTGACTCTGAAGAGGTGGTTGAATTATAATTCAATTTTCTCTCTTGCTTTTTCCACTGCTAGCAGACACCAAATCGCAAGGAAAACATAAAAAGTACAGGAGCCTCAGGTCCGGCAAATAATTACGTCATACGTACATGCCCGTACGTATACAAGTTTACTTATAAACGACCCTCCCAGATTAAACCATTCTCTCTCTCCCCCTCTCTCTTCTCTCTCTCTCTCTCTCTCTCTCTCTCTCTCTCTCTCTTAGATGCACACGTTTTTATTTCGATTTCCGTATAGAGAGGAGGGATTAAAATAACTACAGTTACGCTCAGTCAGAACACCATATTCTTTTTTTCATGGTAAGATGAATTGGTTCTTTCGATAATCCTGTGGAAGACGCTCCTAAATTTAGTAAATATATACCGGGTGTAACAAAAGCTACCATAAGATTTCGAAATTGAACAATTGCTTTATTTTTTTTTTTTAAATTTAATTCATATCATTGTATTATATAGAAGAGAAACGTAGAACAAACATATACTACATTATTTACACTATTGTCCTCATCTTTGTCGCCATATTTCTCACAACGTTTCGGCCGTTCTTCAGGTGGTTGGAATTTCGAACTGAATCCTTTATTTCGCTCACTGATGTAGACTGTTCTCGTTCCACGTGCCATGATTAAAATTAAAAACAAAACCTATTCATAGTAAAATTATAACAATATCTATTGATAGTAGAATTACCATCAATACATTTTAGAGCAAAATGACAAACAATACATTTTATATTATTCGGACTATTGTCCTCATCTTTGTCGCCATATTTATCACAACGGCCTTCTTCAGGAATTTCGAACTGAACCCTTTATTTCGCTCACTGGGGTAGAGTGTTCTAGTTCCACGTGCCATGTTTGATTGATGTCAGTTATCAGTTATCTCCTGTTAATTTCCCTCTGAAAGTTCTCCACTACCTTAACCGGGTATTGAACTCACACTGTTTGGGTCCTGCCACTAGATCTAACCAACCCCTTTATCCACTGTGCCACGTGTCCTTGAGGTATGCCTCCGGGTAGGAATTTCTGGGTATTATAAACCTAATGTCTTCAGCAACCATTTTTACCAGTGCTCATGTTGCAATTTTGCTGCTATCATTACATGTTTTTACCAGAGCTCATATTGCAACTTTTGTTGTTATCATTGCTTTTCTCTGGCACTCCTTATTACTGGTTCCCATATTGTATTTATTTCTATGCTTGGTCGGCTCAGGAGATTTTTGTGGCCTAGCATATGTGCTGATTCCTTAAGTTTACGAATTTTCCAATCGTGTTTCTTGTCTATGATCTCAACATGATCCCACAGGGGACGGTGATCTCCCTTCTCTCTCCATATGTGGTCAGCCACGCCTGATTTTTCTACTTCCCCTCGTGTTACAGCTTTCTGGTATTCTTGAAGCCTTACCTTGAGGGGGCGGCCTGTCTCTCCTTTATATTCGTTTCTGCAGCTGCATGGGATAGCGTACACACAGTCTTTAGTCATGTTCTCCTCTATGGGGGGGTCTTATTCGGGAGATATATCTGCGAAGTGTCGTCAAGCCTTTGAAGGTTGTCCTGATGTTAAATGAGCCGCAACTACCTGAAGAAGGCCGGAGCGTACAATGGCCGAAATGTTGTGATAAATAGGGCGACAAAGATGAGGACAATAGTCCGAATAGTGTAAATAGTGTACATAATATCTCATCTCAGAAATATAGACAGATACTGAAAGGCCGAAACCTTGTAATAGATATGCCGACAAAGATGAGAACAACAGTCCGAATAATGTAAATAGTGTACATAATACCTCATCTCAGAAATATAGACAAACATATACTAGCTGAGACAATTAAATCTTTTAAGTGTCGTCCATTTTCAGCTTCTCTACAAACGTCGCCTTTCTGAGCCATTTTCAATCACAGCCTTCAGCGTTTCAGGATTTAATGTTTTGTTATCAAACTGAATATTAGCATTCCTTTTATGGAGTGGGTGTCGGGCCTTGTCTTCGGAATAGCAGCATAGGAAGAACACAGACCTTGTCAGATCAGAGGAACGTGGCTGCCAGTTTATGCCGCAACCGGGGAAAATTATTCTTTTCCCCAAAATTTCTCTGTGAGGTTAAATGGTGGCTGTTGTTGTATGAAGTGTTGCCCAATCTGGCAGTTCGGAAACAGGTCCATGCTTTGAAAAAATATCGGTGGAGTGACGTCCCTGAAGTCTAAACCTGTCGAAACCGCCTTCGAGTCAACGCGTGTCTAATCTTCTTCATTACTCTCTTTTACTCGATCAAATACTTCGTCGTTCCAAACCGAACGCTGTGTGCACATTCCTGGATGCTGAACTTACTGAACCATTACTGTCAGTACTTGGAGAATCTCTCACGCCATGTATATATAGTATTTTAGGTTGCAATCCTTCTTTTATGCAAGCTTCATTAAATATAACAGACAAGTTTTCTTTGTATCAATTTTTTATTAAATCTTTCAAATTTCTGAATAAGCTGTTTTGTTTAACGGTAAATTTGCCAAAATCCATATTAATTTTGATATTATATTATTTTTTTCACCAAGTATTTTCGAAAGCCCACACATTCCTTTTCCCGTCCTAGGTAATATGATAAACTACATCCGTGTCCTGGGTAAGACAATAAACTACATCCGTGTCCTGGGTAGGACGATAAACTACATCAGTGTCCTGGGTAAGACAATAAACAAGATCAAACAACAAGGCTTCTGATCAGGAGGTATTGAGGAGCCTGGACGACCTTTTAATTGAGGGTGTTCTCAGATCCAACCTGACCCGGGGTGGTAGCACCTGTTAAGTTGCCAGCTATGGGTAAATAGTTAACACCTAAACTTGTGTCAACAACCTATGTAAGGGTAAAAATAGATTTTAATACCAGAAATACTTTTTGTAAAAAATTATTACCAGCAATGGTAAGATTTTTGAAGAAAATAATTATTACCATCAATACCTTTTTGGAAAAAAATATTACCAGCAATAAATATCTTGTCGGTATTAACTAACGCATTGATGTTGATATACCGTAAAATAAATCAAACAAAGCCATTCCTTTTCAAGAATTATTCTCTGCGTAGTTACGTAACTGTTTTTTAATTACAAGACCGAGTTTATAGTGGGGTATCCGAGCCCGTAGGCTCGGGCAAAAAATTCCCTATAGACCACGTAAAAACGGAGTCAGTTTCTCGAGACGAGACTCCGCCCCTCGGCAGATCCTCGTCTGTGGGATACCCTCTGATATAAGCCAGGTAAGTATAGAAGTATAGTATATAGAATTGTTCTCTGCGTAGTTACGTAACTGTTTTTTTAATTATGGCGTATAATTTAAAATAAATATTAAGTGAGGATTTTTTTTCTAAGTTTTATTATTTTTTTTAAGAAATAAAGATATTATTTGAACACAGCATCTATAAACAAAAAGAAAAGAAAGTTTTATTTTCTATCCTCTGCCAGTCGCAATGATGGAGAAAGTATTAACACGCGCCATCGCACATTGAGACACGCTGCATGATCCACTCCGTTTCCCGAGTCTCGTCCTTTAATCAAGACGTCATCCCGCTAACCCTCCGAAGGAACGCCATCGAACGACGGCCAATAACACCAGAAGTCTCCACTGCCATTGGAGTAAAAATAAATATGTCCGCAAGAGAAGAATATTTAACTTTTTTTTTGTTTTTTTAATCTCCGCGTCCCGTGCGACAAAACCCGGCTCAACCGAGGACCTGATCAAATTACCGGTTGAAAATGTATCGATACAGAATCAACGATTTCCCCATTTTAAATGGGAAAATGGTAATACCATCAGCTGTTTTCCATCACCACGGTCGAGGCCTATGGGTTCGATTTGGGAAAGGAAACCAGCTGCATCTGGACCTCTTTTGATGACATCGTTTAATGCTGCATGCCTTGGAAAGCGGCCGGAACTACGAAGACAGGAGAGAGGATGCAAACTAAGCTCATCAGCTCCACATCTGCATCTGTGACGCTCACTTAATTTCAGCCAAGAATGATCGCCACTCCGACTCGAGTGCGCTCATCATCTAGAAGGGCAGCGGTAGACGAGAAGGGCGTGAGCCAGGCGCCACTACTCGGTTGTAAAGCAGAGAGTAGACATAACGAGGCGGTGCTGGTCAAGAGAGAGCCTCAAATTAGTAAAATTGGCCTCGCATTTTATTTTATCCCAGCTTCTAAATTCTTATCTAGCGTTCTGAATCAAGTCAGTCATATAATCGGACAAACTGAAAGTTTTATGGTGCATTTTGTTTACTTTTTTTTTTTTAACACAAAACAACAAGTTTTTTGAGAGTTTATCTGATCATATATGATTATTATATAATATATAATTATATATTCAATTGTTATACAGAAACTGGCAAAATTATATTCAATAACGCAGTATTCACTATCCTCAAGTGGAGCGGGGCAATAATGGCTAACTGCTCGAAGACAAATAGATAAACAGATGACACATTGTCCAAATAATATCCGTTATCTCTGTTTCTAATATCGAACACGTGAAGCCGTTCAAATTACCTGCGCATCTTGAACTTTTTGATTGAAACAACCGCTCGATAAGCGATCTTTATTACTAAAGTTCTACCCAAAGGCTAGTCTTGGCTCTCTATCAGGATGTGAGGACAGGAACCTTTCTTGACCAAAGCCATCCAAGTCATTACCCCGCCAAGAATATTGACGCGCTTATGAATTGTAGTAATCACGTCTTCGGGGTGTGTTAAAAACATTGTGCCTGTGAAAAACCTTTGTTCAATCGAATAGATGGACTGATAGTGTAAATTAGTCCTCCTACTCTTTATTGGAAAAACTTTGTTTACCAGCGATTTTATAGGTATCAAAAAGCAGCAGAGAATCCTATGCTTTTAACCTCAGAGTACACAAGGTTGTATTTTCTCTTACATATAATAAAAGAAAAGTTAGCGGTTTTCAGCTGGAAAAGAGATTTTTGAAAATTTTAAAACCTGTTCTTAACAAAGTTATATATATATATATACATATATATATATATATATATATATAATTATTTATTTAAAAATATGATTCCAAATCGCGACATAAGAAGTCCCATGTTTCAAAACAAGAGCCGAAAACTTCAATATAATTATTTAAATTAAATTGAGTTAAAATAAGCTCTGTTCCATCTTCAAGCGAATTTTTTTTGAATCTATTTTCACACACACACACACACACACACA